CACACGTAACCAAGCAACCAAGAGGAGAGAACATCTATTCCACACGTGTTAAGATGCTTTTTCTTCCAAAATTACACCAAATTTAATTAAACTTCTTTTTAGGGGCCTAGTTTAATTAAATTAGATATTGGGCCACCAAATCTTGAACTGAGCCCAAACCACAAGGAACCACTCTCTCTCGACGACTTCTAATCTCGACAGCAAGAGAATCGTGAAGCTTCCTATGGACAGTACTGCAACTTCCGGTGTACTGCACTAAAAAATCTGACGAGTTTGACGTCAATTCCACCGTCTTCATCATTCTCCCTTTATTTTCCTTTCTTCAAATTCACCACGCTGGAAAACGATTTCGATTTTACTTCTCAAACAACAAGAGCAACTCTTCTTTCTCATCTAGCCACACATCCAGGACCATACCCGAAACGAGAACGGATCTCTGTCGAGAACCCGCTCTGATACCAATTGAAATTACTATATGTGTGCTAGATCTATACGTTTGTATGATGAGAGAGTGTAACGAGTTCGTATGTGCATAAAGTAAATGAGACACAAGAGATTTGTTAACGGGGTTCGGTTAACCTACATCCCCGGGACCAAGTCCAGAAACCATTCACTAGAAAAGGCCGCAACCTACAATTGCTATATGGTATCCACCACTCTTTTCTAGAATTACAATGAAAGAAAACTACTACTCCTATTGTCTTTTCCGACGAGTATAGCTTCTCAACAAAACCATCAAAAGATCTCTCTATCTTGTTGATGGGGCGACGTCACACACATGTGTGCCTCTCTCGATAAACCCTAGACGCGCAAGTCTTCATGTTGCCGTCTCTTGGTATTTATATCAAGTGCCAAAAACCCTAGACGACTTAAGCCACACTTCAAGTCTCTACAAGCAATTGGGCTTAACTTGAACAATGGCCCACGACCCACGTGGCCTTTTTTGCTTTCACGCTAGAAAGACTCAATCTCGATCTTGTTCCAACAGCTTCAATAGTGTTCCAACAATATCTGCACTTTCACAACTTTCTTTGTTACTTGAATGCCACGAAACATGTAAGATACACTTATGGGTGATGAAGAAGCATCATTGGAGCAGGCTGATGACAGTTGCTATATCTCAATATCCGATACCTGGTAAATATTTAAGTTCCTTCATTGAGGAAAATGGTAGGCTTGCGCTATTTATCGAAAGCGGGCATACTAGCTTCTACATTGGAGGAGAGAATCAAAAGTACAAAAAAGTTGAATACTACACTGGTAGTCGTACACTCAGTGACTGCTGCTATGTTCAGAGCTTGCTTCAGGTTCCTGGCTTTTAGTGGTGAGAAGAAGAACAAAGAAGCTGGCTCCACTGTTTGGAACATTATTGGATATGTTATTTGTTTTGTTTAACTTTCTAATTCCAGAAACAGAATGGAATAAACTGATTCACTATATATAAACCATAACACTGAACAAGTTCAAAGACTAGTAAGTTGTAACTTAGTCAATAATATTTTTTATGTTTCAGTATTGGAGGTTGAATGAATATCTTTAGCATATATTTTCATTATTTTGACTTGCATGCATAGGCAAGCATAGGTGAAATCAAAATTTTGAGTGTGATATATATATTTATATTGGGCCTAAATCAGACAAATAGGCTTTAACATTCCAGTTTCTACTTGCGAAGTCCGTCGTCTTTGGACACGCTAAATTTTTGTGTAACATTCTAATAAATTTGATTACAGTAAAAACACAAAAGTGTTGTAAAAAATTAGTATAGACTTTCATGAAAATAATGTTACAAGATAAATCGATATATATGGAGATAAAGACTAAATTTGATTTTCTAAACTAAAATAAAAAATTTAGAGATAAATATAGATATTTTTAAACTAAAATATTGGCAAATATATCATGATCTTCTAAATCTTTCTGGATCTCGATCTCATCAAACTCCCAAAAAGTTCTTTTGAAGAAGAATCAAAAACTACTATGGAGCTTTCGTTTGATTTGGTAGAGGAGATACTCTCACGGATTCCAGCTAGATCTCTTGTACGATTGAAATCCACATGCAAGCAGTGGAACACCCTAATCACAGAGCCGAGATTCGTCAACAAGCACTTATCTCACATGCGTTGCCGTGAGCAACAATTCACAGTCTTTAACAACGAACACATAGTTTCTCCTTTATTCGGTTCCACAATTTCTTATATGTAGGTATCGATTTCAACAAACCAGAAAAATGTGGTATGAAATTGCCGTTTCCAATAGCTTTTTCACCGGCGAACAATATTTCTCACTGTGACGGTCTATTGTTGTATGTCACTAAAAGTATGCTTTTGGTTGCGAATCCGTTGTTGAATCAAAAGAGATGGATCAAATGTAGCCAAGGATTTGACCATTCCATGGATGCGTATGGTCTTGGATACATTTTTAACCAATCACCAGGTTCTTATGATTACAAAGTTGTAAGATTTCGTTGTGGAATTAGAGATTCGTCAAGGGTTGAAGTCTACACATTCAAATCAGATTCTTGGAAGGTTGTTGTTGATAAAAACTTTGATGGGTTCGATGGATTTCCATTGTCAAGTGTTTGTTTGCGAGGAACTCCTTATTGGCTAGGTTACAATAAATATGGTAATCAACTCATGTCGATACAGAGTTTCGATTTCTCTAAAGAGAGATTTGAGCCCTTGTTTCTTCCTCCTCCATCCACTGGGTCACGTAATTTGGTAAAGTATATCTCTGTAGGGATTTTCAGAGGAGATCAACTTTCTTTGTTACTTGAGTGCCACGAAACAGGTACGTTACACTTATGGGTGATGAAGAAGAAGCATTGGAGCAAGCTGATGACAGTTGATGTACCTCAGTATCCGATATATGGTAAATATTTCAGTTCTTTCATTGAGAGAAATGGTAGGCTTGCATTATTTATCGAAAGCGGGAATATTAGCATCTACATTGGGGGAGAGAATCAAGATTTCGAAAAAATTGAATACTTCACTGGTCTAGGTCGCACGCTCAGTGATTGCTCCTATATACAGAGCTTGCTTCAGGTTCCAGGCTTTTCGAGGTCAGAAGAAGAATAAGAAGTTGGTTCCATTGTTTGGAACATTATTGGTCGTGGCATTAAGTTTTTCTTTTAAAGATTTCTCAGTTTCTGTCTTTGGATATGTTATTTTTTTTTACTTTCGAATTCAAAAACAGAATGGAATAACATTTATTAGTTTGAATCTGATTTGAAAGTTGAGACTATTCCTAAAAAAGAAACAAAATTTTCACCGAATTAGCCGAAAAAGAAACTTAGAAAGAGTGGGGATTGGTATTGGGCCTTAAGTCGCATAAATGGGCTTCTATATTTTGCGAAGTTCATCGTATATAGAGCTTTCGTTCGTCTAAAGGCAAAATAGGTTAAGATTCTTTTGAACACAATCAAACCCTAGACGACGATGGCTATTGAGCTTCCTTCTGACTTGGTAGAAGAGATAATCTCATGGGTTCCAGCTATATCTCTTGTACGATTAAGATACACCTGCAAGGAGTGGAAAACCCTAATCGCAGACCCTAGATTCGTGAAGAAGCACTTGTCTCACATGCGTTGCCGTGAGCAACAATTCACACTCTTCAACAACTTTAAAAAGCCTTGTCCTTCATCCGGTTCTACTTTTTCTTTTGTGGGTATTGATCTCAACGAACTCGAAAAACAAAAACCTTGTCTAAATCTTCAGGTTTTTGAACAGCCGAATGTATTACCAACGACGATGAGGATGTCTCATTGTGACGGTCTATTGTTATACGTCATGATGATAAATAGGCTTTTAGTTTTGAATCCGTTGTTGAAACAAGGGAGATGGATCGAATGTGGATATGGATTGAAGAATTACGTGGATACGTATGGTCTTGGTTACGTTTGTAACCAATCATCATTATCAAGTTGTAATGATTACAAAATTGTTAAGTCTCATTGTGATAACATAAATGGAGATTCAAGGGTTGAAGTTTACTCATTCAAATCTCATTCTTGGAAGACTGCTGTTGATAAGACCTCTAATGGTTTATTTAGATTACCAGAGTCAAGTGTGTGTTTGCAAGGAACTCCTTATTGGATAGCTTATGATAAGTCTGATAATAAACCCGTTTCGATACAGAGTTTTGATTTCTCAAAAGAGAGATTTGAGACCTTGGTTCTTCCTCCTTCTCATCTTTCATCCAATGCGTTATCTTATTTGATGAATAATCTTTCTTTAGGGATTTTCAGAAGAGATCAACTCTCTTTGTTACTTGAATGCGGCTTAACAAGTAAGATACACTTATGGGTGAAGAGAAGAAGAAGAAGCAGCATTGGAGCTGGCTGGTGGCAGTTGCTATACCTATAACAGATCGGCTTCCAATATATGGTAGTAGATATTTAAGTTTCTTCAATGAGAAGAATGGTAAGCTTGAGATATTTATCGAAAGCGGGTATATTAGCATCTACATTGAGGGATATAAGCAAGAGTGCCAAAAAGTTGAATACAACACTGATATGGGTCGTACATTCAGTGGTTGCTACTATGTTCCGAGCTTGCTTTGGCTTCCGGGCTTTTCAGAGGTGGAAATAAGTAGAAGAAGAAGCTGGCTCCATTGTTTGGAAATTTATTGGTCAGATATGATTGTTTTATTTTTAATAGGTCTCTCTGCTTTTTTGCTTTGGAGAAGAATGTAGATATCATTAAGATGAAGAGTTTGGGCCTTACATAAGCTTTACCTTAAGGACATTTTCATGAAGCTAACATGGTCCCATGCCAAAAAAGTTAAAAAAAAAAACATGGAAGCATAAACATTCGAGATTCAATTCTTCAAGCAAGACCATTACGCGCGATTAGGCTCATCGTTTGTGATATATTGAAAAATGTTACATTCCATTCCATTTATATACGACATGTTTAAAAAAGTTCAGTAAGAAAATTGATAATTCACCAGCACCAATTCTTAGTGATAGCTACTTAATCTCAACGACATGATTCTCTTCAAACTATATCCCCTTTTCATTCCAAGTTTGACAGATGATTTGTGCTAAACTAACCAATCTCAAAACTTCAAATCCTCGTGTCAAATCGAAGACGAATGACCTTTTTCCATGTGTACCTTGTTCACTGAGGCAATGCAGCTTCGACTTCATTCCACAAATCAACATTTCTGGTAAACTTCTCTTTAACTTGCGCAATGAGTTCCTTTGCTTCATCGACCTTTGAACGACTTGCTAGTCCATTAACAAGCCACTTCATGACACTAAAACTCGGAACCCAATTTTTCTCCATACTCTCCCTACAAAGGATCAAAGCTGTCTCAAAGTCTCCACCTTTACACAAGCAATGTATCAAAGTGAAGTAACATTCACTATCAGGCTTGTATCCACTATACACCATAACCTCAAACAAATTCATAGCTTCATCCAAATTCTCCTCACTGCAAAACCCATGAATCAAAAGCGAATACGTCACAGAATTCGGTCTCATCCTACAAGACATAACCCCATCAATCAACGCCTTTGCTTCTAAAGATTTCTTCCTTTTACACAAACACTGAATCATAATGTTGTATGTAGCAACACCAACATGAACACCAAATTCTTCCATCATTCTCATCACTTTCCTCACATCATCAAACTTCTCCTCCTTGTAAAAACCATCAATCATTAACCCGAAGCTAGCAGCTGTTGGCTTTACCCATTTCCTCTCCATCTCTGCAATAATGGAGTATGATAAACTCGTTGAACCTGATTCACACAAGACTCTAATCATTCTATTGTAAGTTTCGAGATCAGGTTCAATGCCATAAATCTTTGGCATTTCGAGGTACACACGATTCGCTTCTTTGTAATCCTTAGCCATTAAACAAGCGAAAAGAAGAGCATTTAGAGACTTCACCGTCCTCGGGATCTCGTATTGATCAAGGTCACGAAATGTTTGCAAAGATCGATCAAGCATGTTAGCTCGACCGTATAGAACAATGGCGCGGACAGCGAAACTCTCGGATTTTGGATCGGGTTGGTTTTGGATGAAACCGTCGAGAAGCTGCGACACAGCGACGAAGTGCTTCTCTCTTGCTAGTGTCACCACCGCGACGGAGAAGATGATACGGTCTACGTGATAATCAGGCGTGAGGGAAGCGGAACGGCAAATTTCGAGGATTCGATCAGGATTATTCTCGGATTTGAGAAGGGAGAGAGTAGCTCGACTCTTCTTCTGCTTGCTAGTGAGAGAGTTTAATGTGAGAATAGATGAAGATGAAGATTGCAATCGGAATTGTGTCACGTTCTGGACTAGAGATTCCGATGTTCGAATGCGGAAGAGGAACGCCATTACTAGGGTTCATGATGTTAACGAAGAAATGGAGACGACGGCGGAGAGAGAAGAGGTTTAAACCGGTTTAGAGATTTGACGAAATTAAAATTTAATTTCAATGGTTTACTTTAAATCACATACACAATTCATATCATCCGTTGATGTTTATGACTAGTCAGCAATTAGAACGGTCCTGATTGAATCTTGGATGATTTTAAAGGAAAATAAAAAAAGTTAAGGATCATGTTTAAACCGGGGGTTTGAACCCGACGTGAATCGAACACGCAACCTTCTGATCTGGAGTCAGACGCGCTACCATTGCGCCACGGATCCCTTTGTGATTAATCTCTCACAATATTATTTATATATTAAAGTATATATCGTTTTATTACAAACCGCCGCCTTCTCAAAGGTTATCAACAATCTCTCATCTTTAGCATTGTTTTGTTATCTTCTTCTTCATCACAATTTTTCTACGGTCAGAGATTCATAGAGTTTCTCTATCTTCTTCTTATTCTCCGATCAACATGATGCAGCAGCCACCACCCGGAGGTATCCTTCCACATCACGCTCCTCCTCCTTCTGCGCAACAACAGTACGGTTACCAACAACCTTCTCCTTACGGGATTGCTGGTGCTGCTCCACCACCACAGATGTGGAATCCTCAAGCGGCGGCGCCGCCATCAGCTCAGCCTACGACTGCCGACGAGATCCGGACTCTTTGGATCGGGGACTTACAGTATTGGATGGATGAGAATTTCCTCTACGGTTGCTTTGCTCATACCGGAGAAGTAATATTCTCAGATCTCTCTGTTTTGACCTTTCGATTATTGTTTGTTTACTCTTATTATTCTGTTTTAGCTTTGTGGTTGTTTCTTCAAAGGAGATTAAGGTTAATTTGATAAGTTATTACTGTTAATTATTTCCTCGTTTCTTCGTTTTATGATTGAAAGATTCGATTTTGAAAAAACTTTTGAAGTTTGAACAAATTTTATGTGTAATATTTTTCCGACAATGAGTTAATGAGTGTTCTGTCTTGTTATTTATAGAGTAGTTTAGTCTAACACTATGAGTATTTATTTCGCAGATGGTTTCTGCTAAAGTAATTCGTAATAAGCAAACCGGTCAAGTTGAAGGATACGGTTTCATTGAGTTTGCATCTCATGCTGCTGCTGAAAGAGTTCTACAAACATTCAACAACGCTCCTATCCCGAGCTTTCCTGATCAGCTCTTTAGATTGAACTGGGCATCATTGAGTTCAGGAGATAAACGGGATGATTCACCGGACTACACGATATTTGTCGGTGATCTGGCTGCTGATGTTACGGATTATATCTTACTTGAGACGTTCAGAGCCTCTTATCCGTCAGTGAAGGGTGCAAAGGTTGTTATTGACAGAGCCACTGGGCGTACGAAGGGATATGGTTTTGTTAGGTTTTCTGATGAGAGTGAACAGATACGCGCTATGACGGAGATGAATGGTGTTCCTTGTTCCACTAGACCTATGAGAATTGGTCCAGCTGCTAGCAAAAAAGGTGTTACTGGTCAGAGAGGTAAAGTATATGTTACATTAAAACTGCTTTGATCTTGCATTCTCCTGATTTGTGTGTGTAGTATCTATGTGACTAGGATTCCTTAAGTAAGAACTAGTATGACTCCATTATTTTGATTTTTTCTAAAGCCGCATCCTACATTTTTACCGCTGAGGCCGCAGTAAATTCTGTTGAAAAACTTAAAAAGATAGAACTCTTATAGCACACTTGTTGTATCCTGTTTGTTTCAAAGCAGGGGAGTCAAGAGGCTCTCTATCATCTTGAGGCCTGGAACTGATATTCAGCTGAAATGGTTATCTCCTTATTGAGTGCCCATGCTTAGGTCAGTTTTAAAGTTCATGTGTTGTCCTTTATTAGCCCTTTCCTTCGTTTCAGCCCTACTTTCGTTTCCATTTATCTTTTCTATACAAACTTCATTCCAGTTCTTGGTCAATTACTTTTATAAGTCGATTCTTATGTAATTACTTTTCTATTTCATCCCGCTCTACTTAACGTTTTTATTTTTCACCGCATTTACTTATATTCTTTAGTACATCAAGCTTCTTTTTACTGTTTTTGTGAGTCCTAGATGTTAGAAGTTCTCTCCTTAAATTATGGGATTTGGTCAGATGTGCCAGTTGCTGGAGTGGCCAGAGAAATAGTTACATTGTTTTTTAATTTTTTCAATATTGACCTTTATAATCCTCTATACTTTGTCTCTATAGGTATTTCAATTACTTCTTCCACTACCGTGTTAGTTTACCACCTTGACCTAACCTCCTTATGTAGCCGAAAACATTGGGTGAAATGTGATGCAAATGTCATTGTCGCTGTCTACTTGCTCATTTTTTTGGCTGCAGCTCCTCAGATCCTTTTTCTCAATGCTCGTACACATATTGATAATTTATGGTTGATGTTAACATCATTGATAGACTTTGATTTCCTATATATGTTTTTCGTTTTCATTGTCTGAGAATACTATTTCTCCTTGTGGAGTCTGGGAGGTGTGTTGTATATGTGTTCACTGTTCATGCCTTACTTTGCATTTGCTTTCATTTTGTTGGGAATGTCTAGATGAGGCTGCAAAAGGCTCCCTTGTAGTTTTGCAGTTACCTTGTTGTATGTGTAATTTACAGTTACTTACTCCTTCCATTATACCCGTGTTTTTTCGTGTAAATGCAGATTCATACCAGAGCGCTGCTGCAGGGGTACCAACTGATAATGATCCAAATAACACAACTGTGGGTTTTATACTCCTATTATATATGTGTCCCGCTCGGTTATCTTCCGAAAGGGTCATTGCTGACGCATTTTAAGTTATGTACAGGTTTTTGTTGGTGGATTAGATCAATCTGTCACGGATGATCATCTGAAGAATGTCTTTGGCCAATATGGTGAGATTGTGCATGTGAAAATACCCGCCGGAAAGCGCTGTGGATTCGTTCAATTTTCTGAGAAGTAAGTCCACTGCTACTACTGGAAACTATGTCCATCATTTGACCCTATAATAGTCTTTGGAATATCAATCTAACAGCTCGTTTAATCATGTGTTTTGTGACCAATTCTCGCTTTTCAGAAGCTGTGCAGAGGAAGCTCTTAGAATGCTGAATGGAGTGCAATTGGGCGGAACAACCGTCAGGCTCTCATGGGGCCGAAGTCCTTCGAACAAACAGGTAATTGATAACCTTTGCATTTACGTTAGATGATAGAAAGAAATAGCTCACAGTGTATCGCCTTTTGTCTAGGAACTATTGCAGCTTCTCTCACAGTGTATCGCCTTTTGTTCTAGGAACTATGTAGTCCAGGCTATAGTTTTAGATGATAGCAGAATCACTTGAAATAGTTGTGTCCAAATAGCTTTTTATAATCTGAAATGCTTTTTTTATATTGGTTTCCAGTCAGCGGATCCCAGCCAGTTTTATTACGGCGGGTATGGACAAGGACAGGAGCAGTATGGGTACACGATGCCACAAGACCCTAATGCATATTACGGAGGCTACTCTGGTGGAGGAGGATACAACGGTGGTTACCAGCAGACACCACAAGCAGGACAGCAACCACCACAACAGCCACCACAGCAGCAACAAGTCGGGTTTAGCTACTAACTCCGAGAGTATTTCTTGGGTTAATGTCACTCTGCTTGTTGTTTGCGTACTTTGTTATGAACTTGTTTCTGCGTGCTTTGTTATGAATGTTTCCCGAAACACAGTTTATTTGTCTTTGTTTTCTCTAGGTTGTGTGTTGAGTTTTTCACTCTTAATAATGTTTCTGCGATGCTTCTGTTTTTAATGTTTCCATCACCTTTTGAAAGAACGTAAGCGTTGATTATATTTTCGGGTAATGTGTTTATTTGTGAGTGTTGTGGTCGATGAATGATATCACCAGAGATCTTGAGCACAACTAAGCTCCAGCATTAGAACAGTTGGAGAGTCTTTAGAGGTCTATATAGAGGCAGTGTAGTATGTGTGGCTCAAGTCTCAAGTTGAACATTTTACATAACAAAGGAGTCATGTATGGACTCATCACATTAATAGCTCTCAGCTTTGAAAATTATATTTTAAAAAATTTGCCTTGACCCGTTGTCCTAACCAAAGGACACAAAGAAGAATTTGATTAATTTAGTTGATCTTGCAAACTGTTGTCTTATATCTGAGACCAAAAAATGTTGGCTCCGAAACAAAATTATATTTTCTCAATTTCAACGTTATAGCTTTCTCATAACCTGACTAAACGATATTTTCTATGCTAGATCAGTACTATTCCTAAATTATGTCCATTAACTGAATTCATTAAATATAAGAAATCTATTAAAAAAAATTTAAGAACTTAACAAAACTATTGATTAATGATTTTTTTTTTTTGACATGGACACTAAGGTATACCCGATATATGATTATAGGAAAAAAGGTTAAAAGTTAATTTTACATATGTATAATGTAAGTATGTACTATATGACCTCATTTTGCAAACAAATAAATTAAGATATTTGGACGGCAAGCTAAACTGATATGTTTATAGTCTAAGGTGTTATACTGTTAATCTGTTATAGTATAAGAACAATGATTATATTTACAGGCATTAATTATAGATTGTTAGCTGGAAAATTCATACTATCTTATATATTATCTTAATGATTTGACTTATAATTAAATTTAGTTTTCTTATTATTTCTTTCTAATAAGAAATTATATAACTTGAAAATAAGAAAATACGAAACACGTATACAAGGTACAAGTTAGTGCACCAGCACTGCTCAATGCAATGACTACAAATACTTGGTCATTTCAACTCCTCCTCTCATCTCTCTCAGATCTACCTTCTCTTCCAAAAGTCGTCGTCGGAAAAACACAAAAAGACGAATATGACCGTCTTCAAGAGGCCATGTCTTTACTCAAAGATGGACAAGGAAGATCCAGAAGAGGTACTTAGCCGACGAGCCAAGTTCTTGATTTACAAAACACTTCAAGAAGCCGATTTGGTTTCGCGGCGTGATCCTCATTCGTCGTTTCTACGGCTGAAGCTTTATCTGTTGAAGGTCAAGATCGGAAAGAGGTTGACTAATCTACGCCGAACCGTAGTATCCGCTGTTAGATTTGGCGGAATTCGAAAGCATTCTCATAACGGCGTGAGAGCGTTGAAGAAGCTTTTCCACGGTGGTGCAACAACAACTGGACTACCTAGGCCTATTTTCACTCTTGAAGTTTGATTTTAATTTATATTATTTCTTGTTTTGTGTAATTTTTTTTTCTTTTGTTTCTGGAGTTCCTTTTGATCTCTTTTACAAAAGTTTATCAAGAAATGTATTATGAAGAGATCATGAGTTTTGTTTCTTTCAAAAAGGTAAAATTAAAAAATCTTGAAATTTTATAAATCATTTAATTATATGATGATGCAAAAGGATTTAGAAGACACATTTAAATTTGGATTATGGAACTTGTTGTAATCGACGTATTTTAGACAATAGAAACGACGCATTTTCAGAGAAAAATGATTTGGATTGCACTGAAATATTGATACTTATGTATACGTAATTTTTGTACCTAAACTTATATCATTCAAACTCTCATCGGACGGATATTTTGGATATTTTCATAAAGCATGTTTGGATAGCTTTTAGTAATTTACAAATTTTCAAGTTTTCTAATTACCTAAACCTAGCTAACTGCAGTTTAGGTAAAAATATGTTGGTGAGCTTGTTAGAATATATGTTGGTAAAATGTCATATATAAGTAATTAGTACCACATATATGGATACAAATCAAGTCATTCATGTTAGAAATAAGTAAGATAGAATGACCTAACCAATCATACATATAAAAGTAAGGTTTCACTCTCTCATGATTGGTCCACTTGGCATTTTTAAAATTATAATATTTATTTTCAATTAAACTTAAAATCTAATATATTTAATCATATACATTTAAATCTACACTTTACTACTCAATTGTAACTGAAATTACATAATTGTGAATTGACTATTTTTTTCTCTATTCATTGTCATTTAAACACACTATAATTATAATTGTAACTCCTATAATCTAATTAGTTTAGAAATGTAACTTCCATATTTTCCTATAAATAACCATTCTCACATACCTCCATCATATCTCAAATCCTAAATATTCTCTTTGTTTTGTTTATGTTCTTGCATGAGTTGAAAACTCAATATCATTGTAAAAGTTTGATTATATATTTTGTATAATATATATATATATATCTTATATTCTCCCCAGGAATGGCTCTTTTGAGCTCTAATTAATTGCGGATGACAAAAAAAAATATCTTATACTCTTTTCAATTTTATTTCTTCTTTGTTTTTATGTATTTCTTCCTTCTTTCTTTGTTTTTTTAATAATACTTTTTAATTTAAAATTACATATGTATATTATAATTTTGATGGCTATAATAAAATTATCTTATTGATGCAGATTCAAAAATATTAATTCCGACCATCGCGCAATAAGAGAATCAAGCTAAAGAAACTATCTTCATTTTTTTTTACTTTGAATGTTTGATTATTTCTTACATATTCATGTATATTTATTTTATTTTTAAAAATATGCATTGTTTTAACAAAATAATTTTTGGGAGACTCACAAAAATGCCCCTTTTTCAATACCCCTTTTCAAAAATGCCCCCTTTGGCTGTCCATTTTTAAAAATACCCCTTTTTATGTACAAAATGACTAAATTACCCTTCTTTTAATAAAATATATCACAAATATATAAGGAAATATAACAAAATTAGGTCTACAAAATACAAAATATTTTTTGGCGGGAAAATTGATCCCGCAATTTTTCCCGCCAAAACACTTGTAAAACCTTGTAAAAAACCTTTAAAATACCTTGTAAAATTTTCCCGTAAAATTTTTCCCGCCAAAAAATTTTCCCGCCAAAAATTTTTTTTTGCGGGAAAAGTGATTCCGCAATTTTTTTGGCGTTAAATTTTTGGCGGGAAAATTTTTCCCGCCAAAAATTTACAAGGTATTTTAAAGGTTTTTTACAAGGTATTTATAAGGTTTTACAATGTATTTTAAAAGGTTTTACAACGTATTTACAAGATATTATAAGATTTTACAAGCTATTTTATAAGGTTTTTACAAGTTATAAGGTTTTACAAGTTTCTTATAAGGTTTTACAAGTTATAAATACCTTATAAAACCTAATAAGTACCTTGTAAAACCTTTTAAAATACATTGTAAAACCTTACAAAACACTTGTAAAAAACCTTTAAAATACCTTGTAAATTTTTCCCGCCAAAAATTTTCCCGCCAAAAAAAAAAATTGCGGAATCACTTTTCCCGCAAAAAAAATTTTTTGGCGGGAAAATTTTTTGGCGGGAAAAATTTTACGGGAAAATTTTACAAGGTATTTTAAAGGTTTTTTACAAGTGTTTTGGCGGGAAAATTGCGGGATCATTTTTCCCGCCAAAAAATATTTTGTATTTTGTGGACCTAATTTTGTTTCAAATAAGGGTAAAATGGTCAATAAAAATTAAAAGAGGGCAAACTTAAAAATGGACTCTCAAAGGGGGCATTTTTGAAAAGGGGTATTGAAAAAGGGGCATTTTTAACAATTTCTCATAATTTTTTGTAATACAATTATCAAATTAATTTTCTTTAACTCTCTCTTATCTCCAAAAAATTGTAATACAATTGTTTAGTATACTCATCATTATATTTAGTTTTATTGATTCAACATATAATGATATAAAGATCATTAAAAAAATTATTTAATTCAAATTTTATAGTGTAAAGATTTTTCTATATATATTAAAAAAAATTGATATTCCATTTCCAATTAGCTTGTACTATAAAGATGAAATCATTTACTACAAAATGATTTATTCACAATGAATCTTTTGGAATGTAACATAAAAATTTATGATATAAATACAATTAAATTTACTCATAAATGACATTCAAACATGATTGTGAAAGTTTTATCAAAAACAAAACATGATTGTGGAAGTTAAATAGTTATCTAACGTAAATATGCTTTTATTACAAAAAAAAATTCCCTATAAATATTAATACACACATCTCACAAACAATCATATTCCAAGTTTTCTATTATTGGTAAATTGTATAACATTTTCTCTTCTAATTCAACAAATGGTGTTTCAATATATATATTTTTGTCACTTTTGTAAGAGATTGTGAAGAGGAGGTGACCTGAAACCAAGAAATCCTACGCACGGTCAATCGTTTGTGCTACTTTAGATGTCTTTAAAAAGAAGAGAGTAGAGAAGATGCATTATTGTAGGGTTTTTTTTGCCGAAATTATTCATTATATTCAATCTATATTAACCTAAATTTGGGTTGACTCAAATAAATTTGATATTCTTGCAGAGAGATTAAGAAAAAAATCAAGAAGACTAAAGACGACAAGAAGGGTAAGAAAATGGAGTATGCTTCGAAACAACATAAGTCTTAAGTGAAGGGTAATATTCCAAGAGAGTTGATGGTAGAGGTAGACGTTGAATTGTATAGAATAGTCATTTATCTTTTTTCATTTATCTTTATACAATTTTATCCATCCCCATTCTACATTAATAATATTTGATTATTATTTTTAATCCTTTTATATGTAAATATCTTTTAAATTATAAAAATTTAAAGAAAGTACCATAAAATGGTTTATTATTAATAGTAACATAGTGTTTAAAAGTTTGTTATGTTAATTATGTCCATCAAATTATGAATAGCTTGAAACTAACGATACTAATAATGGATATTTTCACGAATTAAATTAATCTACTATATAAAATGAATGTCATTTTTCAGATGGTTATCTTTTGGTAGTTGAAATTTAGTAATGCTTTGGAAAAAGGCATGTGAAACATATATTGAACCAAGTTATAATCTCGAAAATATTAAGTGAAAGTCTTAAGTCTATAAATTGATATGTTCACTATCTCATTCATCTGTTATTTTTATGTATGCGTTATTATTGTTGTTTTGCTTACAATATATATATATATTTTTGTTTGTTTTACATAAAGAAAAAATGTATACAATAACCCACGCGTCGCGTGGGCAAACATCTAGTAAATAAAAAACGAATCATCCAAACTGTTACCAGTTTATTGGGTTTAATTAAGTATCTAAACTTATTCATGTTTCATTATACAATCCTTTTTAACATTGGTAAACTATAAACAACATAACAATTGTTCTAGTTTGGACTCTATTATACAAACGGTTTTTGTTTTTGTTTTTGTTTTTATGTTTGGTTTAATTTGCAGTAATAAATACTAAAATAGTAATAAATATTAAATCATTGTGATTCTTTATGCTTGAGACATACAATCTACGAAAATTTAGTTTTGTCATATATCTATCCATACAGAACATTTATTTTCTAAGATTTATTTTTTTGGCAACATATTTGTAGAACTTAAAACTTTTAGATATCAAAAAACTTAATTAATCCGATCCCACTCAATTGAACCATGTGGGGAAATTCGTGCGATATCGTGAGATTCGAACACGCACGACGAAAATTTAACTTTAAAATCTGGGGTTAGGTCGTCAACAAATATCTTCGGGTTATAATATCAATTAAAAGGAATAAATAAGGACTTAAATTGCAAATAAAAGTTTCCTTTTCTCTAATTTCCTTTTCTTTAGCCTTTCCCTTGTCTCTTATATTTTTCTAATTTCTAGCCCCTTCCTCAATTTTTCTTTCTCTCATCTTCTTCGTTCCTCGTTCGAGAAGTCATCGGAGGTCCTTGGAAGTTTCTGATCATCGTATAGTCTTCTTCTTCATTTTTTTCTTATTATCGTTCGATTTGATTGACGACCAATAATTTCATAATGCGTATATAGCTAAGATCTCTTCTCGTTGATTTGCTTAGAAAAATCTAGAAAAATAGAGAACAAATTTCTGATTCCGTTTAGTATCACCGATTCTTGTGAAGTTGATGAGTATCAAATTTGTTGAATGTTTGCGTTGTTTCTCAGATTGTTTCGGGTTATGTTCTTACTTTTTATGGATACATTTATTGAAATCTATGGTGCATTGTTCCGATTTCTTATCAATTTTATAGATTCTCTTAAGTGTTTGAGATTGGTTGATTTAATTGTGGTTTTGGTTTCCTATATGCAGAAAGAAGGAGTTTGATAAGCAGGAAGCTCATGGAATAGAGATTCTATTTCGATTTTTTTTTCTTTGTGTCTGAGAATTGGAATTGATCTTTTGTGTTAGAAGGGAATTTTGAGATTTGTTAAAATGAGTGTGGTGGGATTTGATGTTGGGAATGAGAATTGTGTTATCGCGGTTGCGAAGCAACGGGGGATCGATGTTTTGTTG